AAGTTTGATTCCCAGTCATTACCACATGTCATGGTGTCTCTGAGCAAAACACCCAATCCCCAATTGCTCCTCGGGCTCTCAATAGCAGCCCGCTGCTCCACCTGGGTGAATCCCAGGTGTCTCATCTTTAAATCACTTCTTGGTCTGCTGCCTTCATACATCTCCTCCTACATGTCTCTGTGTGAGTGCAGCTACAGCGTGCACTCTCAGGACATTATTACCTGCAGTGTTCCCTCAATGAGGACTGAACTAGACAAAAGGGCCTTCTCCTACTCCGCTCCTGGAATACCTTACAAAAAGATCTGAAGCTCTCGACCTTTGACCTCTCTAAGTGGCTTTAAGAATCTGTTGGACTCCTGGCAGGGACCAATGCAGACATGTTCCTTTTTTTTTGTTTTCTACATTCGCCGTAGAATCTAGCTGTTTTTTGTTATTTTTCTTATTTTTTAGCCATCCTATTTGTAAAAAAATAAAAATAAAAATCTGTATGCCTTTTTATAACTGCCTATTGTTGTCGCTGTTGTCCATTGTTGTCATCTTTCTTTGTTGAAATCAGGTCTCTCTTGTAAATGAGTCCTCGAGGCTCAATGGGATCTACCTGTCTAAATAAAGGTTGAATGAACTTTTATTTAACCAGGAAAAAACATTGAGATCACAGATCTATTTTGCAAGGGAGGCCTGGGCCTGAAGGCAGACTAACATGCATGTTTTTGTTCTGTGGGAAAACAAACGGAGTACCCCGAGAAAACCCATACAAGCACGAGAAGAACATACAAACTCTATACAGAAAGACCCCAGGTCCAACCGAGGATTGAACCCAGGACCTTCTTGCAGTGAGGTAACAGTGCTAACCACTGAGCCTATGGGAACATACAATGATGACAACATATAGCACATTACTTACTTACAATCTAAAATACAGTATATAAGCCATGCCCATAACATTTTCAAAAACTAACAATTTTCAGTCAGGTCATCTGGACAGTTTCTTTTTTTTTTTTTTCTGAAATGTTTCACCTTCCATCCAGAAGGCTTCATCAGTCAAGGAAATACACAACACAAAACTGATTCTTCCCTCAAACAGCTTACTCCACATGATGTTGGTGATAAGATCTTAGCATCAACATAACTGGTTTGTTCCACTTTGGAGTAAGCTGTTGGGGGAAGAATCAGTTTTGTGTTGTGCGTTTCCTTGACTGATGAAGCCTTCCGGATGGAAGGTGAAACATTTCAGCAAAAAAAGAAAGAAACTGTCCAGATGACCTGACTGAAAATTGTTGGATTGGATACCTGGATTATTGAGCATGGACCTTTTTGATTTTCAAAAACTATTCACACAAAATTTGGCTACACAGTTCACTGGTCAAAAACACTAAGAAATAAGTGAAAAAGCAACTAAAATTAGCAAGTTTTCCTGTAATTTTGAGTCAACTAGTCTCCAGCCCAGTGCAATACTACCTTAAGATTTAAATATCACAAGCAACTAATCCCTAAACATGTTAACAGAACAGATGACACACACGTTTCAAATTAAGCACAGTGGCATGGTAAATCTATAATGGCAGTACTTTCTTTGTCTAATGAACTTAGAATCCTTTACTGACAGTGTTTTATCAAAATCCATCCATCCATTATCTTTTACCTGCTTCTTCCATCATTAAAAAAAATAAACAGATGGGCGGATCTCAGCAGGATTTGGTTTTAAGCACTAGCTTTGGATCTAGTAAGGCTCCAACAAGGAAGCGTGACCTCTGGGATCCTGTCCAGACTGATCAGGAGTCTTCAGCTTGTTCTCGCAGCTCATATTGAAGAAGAGTCAGGATTGATTTTAGCGTTCTGTACAATGATGCATTCTTGTCTGAGGCAGGATCAGTCTGCAGAGCAAGAACAATCATTTCAGTGCCAAAACACTGATAATGTCAAAATACACCGTTCTTAATTACCTTAGTGAAAACTCTGATTGTTTGTTGAAGAAACATTGTCACAACTTCTTCAGGTACAGGCAGGAGATGAGCGGCACAGTCGAGGATACACAACAAAGTGAGACCGGGGCACTGGCAAGTGGAAAATGGAGGAAAGATGTTAGAATAGTACTTTTCATATATGTGTGTAAAATGTGTAGATTTTTCATAATATTCTTCTTCTTCTTTCGGCTGCTCCCTTCCTCAGGGATCACCACAGTGAACTAACTCACGTGACGACTGGGCAACTGTTTTTATGCCAGACACCCTTCCTGACGCAACCACAGACCACAGAGCTACCACAGCCCTTCGTGTGGAGCAGAGCTGCCATCGAGGCTGCCCGGGGGAGCAGATGGTGGGGATTAAGGGCCTTGCTCAAGGGCCAAGGGTGGGGCAGATAAGGGTGGAGGCAGGTGTGGGAGTTACACCTTTCCCACCCACACTTTCATGATGTTGATGGTCTGGGGAGTTGAACCAGCGACATTTCAATCACAGGCCCACCTTCTGCAACCTCTGCACGGTGACACACCTCAACTATACACACACATACATATACATATATATACATATACATATATATATATATATGTATATATATATATATATATATGTATATATGTATATAAATATATATACACATACACACACATATATATACACATACACACACATATATATACACATACACATACACACACATATATACACATACACACACAAATATACACACACACACACAAATATACACACACACACACAAATATACACACACACATATATATATATATATATATATACATATCCATCCATCCATTTTTTTCCGATTATTCGGGGTCGGGTCGCGGGGGTAGCAGCCTAAGTAGGGAGGCCCAGACTTCCCTCTCCCCAGCCACTTGGGCCAGCTCCTCCGGGGGAATCCCGAGGCGTTCCCAGGTCAGCCGAGAAACATAGTTCCTCCAGCGTGTCCTGGGTCTTCTCTGGGTCTCCTCCCGGTGGGACGTGTCTGTAACACCTCACCAGGGAGGCGTCCAGGAGGCATCCTAACCAGATGCCCAAGCCACCTCAACTGGCTCCTCTCGACATGGAGAAGCAGCGGCTCTACTCTGAGTCCTTCCCAGATGATCAAGCTTCTCACCCTGTCTCTAAGGGAGAGCCCAGACACCCT